ACGTTGTCGCGCGCGCGAGCGAAGAAAAAGAGAGTGACGTCACGCCGGGCTAGTCCGTTGGGCTAGGTCGTGGCACTCCTTGTATTCCACCTCCTCATCCTCCTCCTTCTCCTCCACCGGCTCCTTTCTCATCCTCCTTCTCCGTCTCCTCCTCCTCCCCTCCTCCTTCTCCACCTCCTCCTCCTCCTCCTCCACCTCCCGCCTCAACCATCGACTTCTCTAGCCGTCCTACTCCTGCGAACAGCGCACCAACCCCTGCACCCTCGCCCGCGCCGCGCCGTGCCGAAAAAAGCAAGGCTCGCAAAAGGACGCCCGGCGTCGTGGCGCTCTTTGGCTGATCAATACCCGCCGCCTCGTACGCGAACGGACGGTCACGCATGTGCACGGTGTGGGCCGCTCTCTTTCTCTTTCTTTCCTTTCCGTTTCGGTCCCGCTTTCCCACCCTCCTCGTCTTCGTCATTCGCCTTCTTGCTCTATCTCCCTCTGTCCCTCGCGCTTCGTCTCTCAGCCTCGTCCCTTTTCTTTCTCCCCCGCGTCGTTCCACCCGTCTTTCCCGACCCGCCGTCTCTCTGCCTGTCTCTCTCTCTCTCTCTCTCTCTCTCTCTCCACATCTCTCTTTCTTTCTTTCTCTCTCTCTCTCTCTCTTTCTCTCTCTCTCTCTCTCTCGCGCGCGCGCGCGCGCCCCGTGTCCCTCCGTCTCCCTCTCGCTCACGCTCGCCGCGTCTCTTTTCTCTCGTTATCTCTTCGTCTTTCGCGCGCTCTCGATTTTTCTCCCGCTTCTTTCACCGTCCCCCGATTTTTCCTCTCCCTTGTGTCCGTCTACCATCCTTCTTCTGTCCTCCCTCCTCCACCCGCCAGCTCCTCTCTTGCTCTCCCCCTCCTCCCGATCCCTTCCCACTATCTTTCTCCCGCCCGTTCTGCCCCTCTCTACATACCCCCGCCGCCTCCGTAGAGACGGCCCGATTTTTTCCTCCCGTTTCCTCGGCTCCGACATTTTTTACACCTTTTTTCTCCCCCCCTCCAACGGCTGCCCATGCGCCGCTCCCTCCCGCTCGCTCGCTCGCACTGCCTCTCTCGCCCTCCCCCTTCACCCCCTCGCCCCGCTGGTGGAATACCGCCTCGAGCATCCGCTCGGTCTCTCTCCATCTTGCGTCACACATACGCACATGATCTCTCTCTCTTTTTCTCTCTCTCTCTCTCTCCCCCTCTCTCTCTCTCTCTGTCCCGTCTCTCACCCCGTCTACTCTTTTTCTCCACCCGTTTGCCCACCTCGCTTTCCTCCTCCCTTTCATTTTTCCCTGCCTTTCACCCCCGCCCCCCGCCCTCCGCCACCCCCGGCCGCCCTGCCCCCCTTTCCCGACTCCTATCTTTTTGATTTTTTTTTCACGACTACCCGACCACCTACCGACGCCGCGCGTCGGCGTCCTTTTTCTATCGGGACGCTCTTCTCGACCATCGGCTCGACCACGTACTCACGTACACGTACGTACTAACGACGGGCGTGCGCGCGCGCTCGCAAGAGAGAGAGAGAGAGAGAGAGAGAGAGAGAGAGAGAGAGAGAGAGAGAAAAAGAGAGACGGGGGAGATAAAGAAGGGCGTAAAGGGAGCTGGACGTGGGAGGAAAAGGAGAGAGCCGAGGGGTGCACCACGATGGTGCACGTTGGAGAGAGCGGGTGGGTGGGTGGGAGCGGGGAGCGGGAGCTGAGGGGTAAGGGATGGGTGGTTAGGAGGGCGAACGCGAGGGGCCGGTAAGGGGGATGAAACTGGCTGCAGTGCCTGGATGCGAGCTAAAATGTATTTTTTTCCTCTTTCTATATCTTCCCTTCGAGCGAACCGTGGTAGGTTGGATTACCAATCCGGAGCTGCCTCCGGCACGTTCTTCTCTGTCGAGCACGTATAGGGCGGTGGACGTAAGGGCTCGACGAGCGAGCGAGCGAGCGGTTCGCTGGACGGCACTTTAGTACATATCGTTGATACCGATATGGAAATTATCCAGCTGAATTTTAACCGCGCTCGCTCGCTCGCTCTCTCTCTCTCTCTCTCTCTCTCTCTCTCTCTTTCATGCACACACCTGATACGTGCACATATACACCCACGCGCGCGCGTATACACATGCACGCACACGTACACGGGAGCGCTGGATTCAATTTAGACTGATCACGTGTACCCGCTGCTTTTGATATTTTCGTGCCTTCCAATACGTACCTGAAGAAACAATCGAAATTTTTTTGCACAACGGGCGTTGGGGACTTGACTATGGAGATCGTTCCCCCGAGTGAAAATTACGCTTCGGTATTATTCTCATTGACTAATGTCTTGGGGAGATGCGTGTATTTTGATCTCGCGACGATAAGCGTGTGCAGCACTCGTAATAACTAGGACGTATCGAGAGAGAGAGAGAGAGAGTCACTTAGCTAGATTATAATCTATTTCTCTTCTCCAATTTCGTCTCCCGCTCACTTAAGGATATTGCTTTAATGTTGCACAAAGTTGAGCGAACGCGAGGGTGATTAATATTCTACGTATGATACGCGATTATGCATAAAAGATACGCCGCCCAACCGTCGCGCGATAAAAATATTCAATTTTCGCCCGCCGGCTAGTTTGACATAATTTCAAGATAACTTGCCGGGCGATTCGGTCACGTACGTATTATAATAAAAAAAAGAAAGAAAGAAAAAAGAAAAAAGCGCGTCTTTCGAGAACGTTTCGTCGCTGCAATAACATGTTCTGATGAAAGTTTCAAAACTGATTAAAAATCATGTCTCTCCGCACACGCTTACATTATCGGATATATTATCCGTTATTAGTAATCTCTCGAAAGGCAATTCTCCCTCCCCTATCTCTCCCTCTCTCTCTCTCTCTCTCTCTCTCTCTCTCTCTCTCTCTCTTTCTTCCGAACAATCTTTCGCGATCGGTTTCCACCCGTTAGCTCGCGCAACTCTCGTCGAACAAGCCGCAGAGAGCAAACTCATCAAATATCGAGGACTCGGCTCGTTTTATTCATTAGAGATGCATTATCCCGATGTTATCGCGACTCGATGAAAATCCCGATTTTAGAGCGGTGCGAGCACCACCTACCAGGCGATGCCATCTGGCAACACGCTTGGATTTAAGGGATGAGTCCCTCCCCTCCTCTCTTCACCCACCATCGCCGCTGCTACCGTCCTCTCTCTCTCTCTCTCTCTCTCTCTCTCTCTCTCTCTCTCTCTCTCTCTCTCTCTCTCTCTCTCTCTCTCTCTCTCTCTCTCTCTCTCTCTCTCCTCTCCCTTCCCCGCTCTTCGCTACCCGCTTACCGACAAAGTCGATTGCTCTCGAACGTACACGTATGCGTCTTCCATCCACTTCGGCCTCTCTGGTTTCCGTCTTTAAAATAGATACGAATCATCCCACGTACTTCCGCCGTTCGTCCGTTGAGGGAGACCCCGCGTGTTCCGTAGCACCTTTTCTCCGTCCGTCTCACATCACGATCCCGACATTGGCTACGAGGATCTCGGACGGTTCGAGGATCATCGACGCTCCTCTTCCTCTCCCTCTCTTCTCTCTCTCTCTCTCTCTCTCTCTCTCTCTCTCTCTCTCTCTCTCTCTCTCTCTCTCTCTCTCTCTCTCTCTCCCCCGCCCCCCGTCGCAGTTTCCGATCCAGAAGCGCGTATCTTTGCGCCCCCATTCGACGCTTACGTTCCGACAGAATCGGATCGTTTGACGAGCCACCTGTGGCGCGAAGGGCCACCGCCGGCCCTTCCAGGACGGCCGCGATCTTTGTCCCCTTTTCGACACGTTTCGATTCATACGTCGTCCTCGGTATCCTTTACGGCTTGCCGAGCGCCGGCTCTATTTACGAGCCCGTCGTAAAGACACAAGTCCCAAGTTCGCGCAAATATCGTTCTCGCGACGTGGCGCGATCAAACAGCAGCGGCGGCAGCGGCGGCGGCGCCGGCGGAGGAGGAGAGCGATGCGACAGGACGAGGATGAGGATACGCGTAAATTACATCGCGGATTCAAGCGAGACGCGTCCGTGAACTTCGCGATCGCGCACGATCGAGCGAAACGTGTTGTTGCCGAGGCGAGTAAAGACGACGTCTCGAGATGTGTCGGGAAAAAGCGACGCGGAAAAAAATGTCTGCATTTTGTATGTCCATCCTCGCGCGCCTCGCACCTGGTTCGTATCCTATATATAGACGCGATTCTTTATTGTTTGTAAAAATATACCGAGGACACGCGCCGTGATTTTTACGACTGCATTTTGCCTGGCATTCGTGACGACGCATGGCGCGGCGAGCGGTGCGCGCGCTAAATAGGCGAATCCTTGCTTATCCTTGCGCGGAAAGGTATTCCCATCGGATATAAACTCGGAAGAAAGTAGTCGGAACTTTCGGTTTACGGGGCTGCCGGCTCGCGCTCCTTCGAATTCTCGGGGAGAGGCGTACGCGACCTGGCGCGAGCCCCATCGAGGTGCGGAAGGTCATGCCGGGGGATGGATGTGGTTTAGAGGGTCGTGGGAAGGGAAACGAGGTCATCCTTCGATTGCTCTCGCGGCGCTCTATGCGTCGCCACTGGACCTCCGCAGGCCGGCGGGGACTATTAATTCCGCGGAATTACGCTCTCGAATCTCCGAAGGAGTTTCCGAGCGGTAATTAGCGAGACGCGTCGTATAATTTATCGCGAGAGAGCCAACGTCCCCCCTCCCCCCGTGTTTGGAAATCGAAAAGTAGGGAAACCGAACGATGAAACAAAGGAACATGAAGAGGAGAGGGCTCGTCGCGCTTGCCATCCACGTTTTCGCGGGAAATCTCCGCTCCGCTCGAGAGGAGACGCGAGCGCTCAAGTGGTCGAAAAATGGTCGTTTAAAATATTCCTCGAAATCGTCAACCCTGACACCCTCCTGAGCCATTGAGCGACATAACATCGAATGACTTATCCGCGCGAGAATCAGCTCCCCCGACGGGATGTCCGAGAAGCTCCTCTAACCGAGTATCTCTCTCTCTCTCTCTCTGTTACAG